GATTTTACAACAGATGGCTTAAAGAGGTGTTTTTAACACAGTTCAGGGGAATTTTAGTAACAGACCATTAAAATGGTTTTAGTTTTATTTTATGAGTTGCATTGCTGAAGCACTTGCCCAAGTCACAGGCCTCCTAGTTTTGATGCACTACCAAAGCATCTCTTAAGGGACAATCTTTAGCAGCAGAGACCTTACGCTCTCCCTGGAGAAGATGGACAACGCATGTATGAAAAGTAAGATGAGAAACTTCTAGGCATGCCGAGTACAAAGTAGGATCTTTGAAAAGTGGCAAGTCAAGTAAAACAACTAAAATTCTCCCTGCATGGCGCAGTCAGTCTTTTGATAGCATTTGCAAAGCAATAATTATCATAACTTAAAAACTTAAAAACTGAAAAAAGCAAACAATCCCACTGTTTCAGCTACTGTGTATCTAATTACTAAAGACAGTCTTTTTATAACTGCATTTTTGTAATGTACGTGCACATTGTTTTTATTTGTAAAAAACCTGTTTGGAATAAAATAGCAATCTTGAGCCTGATTCTCCTGTTAACTCAGAAGCAATGCTAGAAGTGGTCCTGGTACCTCAGCAGAGATACTTTAATGTAAAGGCAAAGTAAGATCCAAGCTGGGACCAATGCCGTATTTCAGGAGAAGTATGCATTTCCTTTTTCAAGAGAACATAGAAAATGCTGGTAGAATAGGCCAGCTCTGAAGACTTTAGAGAAATAATGAAAATCTCAATGTGGCTGTAAAAAGTGTTCCTTTTACCATTCAAGCAGCTGCACTTGTTTTCACCAGTTGTAGTCTGGCTCTTTAGTGAAGAGCTACTTTGGAAAATGTAATCCCTTGGAGTTGTTTGTTCAGTTACCTTTGTCTTAATTGACAAGCTTAGGCAGTCGAAAGGAAAGGGTAGGAGGGAACAGGTCTTAGCACACTTATGGGCATCTCCTCCTGTAATTCATGTCATTAAAAGGTCTCTGACATATGACTTTATTTATTTATTTATGGTTTTAGGCTTGTTTCTGCTCAAGCACGGATCTGGTGGGACGAGTTTTTTCACAGGGCAGGTTGTTTGCAAACTTTGGAGCCCAAAAGGTGCAGCTGCTCTAAAAATAACACAGGATGCAAGAACTGGTTTGGGAAGGTCTCTCTCTGCCTGAGTCCAGAGGCATCTCCTGAAATGCTGCCATTAGGGGAAATGCTTGCCTTGTAAACAGAGCTGGCCTAATTTCTAGAGGTGCTGAACATCGACCTGCAGTGGTTGCTGGTAGGTCCTGAGCACACAAAATCTGGAAGCAGGACAAATGTTAGTGGCTGGGATTTTATCAGAAACACGCCTGAGCAAATTCACGATTAGCAGGGTAAAGGGTGCAACCAAAGAGAGCAAATAATTGCCCCTCAGCCAGTAACCTCTGCAAGCAGAGTTGGGCACACGGACTCCAGGAGACCTGCCAGCTCCTGGCCTTCTTGCTACCACCACCAGAACAAGACGTTTGTCACAGCCAAGGTCTGTATGTGCATGAATCACCTCTTTGTCTGCTCGTTCTTTGCAGGGTGACGTCCCCAATGACCCAGTGTTTAGCTTCAAGAGGAGGCCAACAGTCTTGCTGTCCTGGTGCAGAGCTGCCCAGGAAGGCTTTTCAAGGAGGTCACAGAGGAAAAAACCTGGCTGCAGAGTCCCAAATACAGCTGGGACTGAACCACAGGCAAGAATTTGAGCAATGTCCCCTCTCATCCACACGAGCTGTGATGCAGGGGTAAGAGTGTCTTGTGTAGAGCTTAGACATAATATTCTCTATTTTTGATTTGCTGGATCTTTAAAAAACGCAATGGTGTATCTACCACTGAATTAAGCAGTGTTTGCTTTTCAAACCTTCCACATTTGTATTTTTAGCTCCATTTTGGCATTCACTCTTTTGGTTGGAATATATAACACACTCAGTTATTTAGCCTGCCTGGACCAAATTCAGCATATGTGTAACTCCATGGGCTTTAGCAGAAGCTACGTTCAAGGTGAATTACTCTCTATGGGGCTAAGGAAATACAGCTTCTGTAGAAATGCATGTCAGCTCCCTCTGTAAATGCTACACTATTTCCATCCATGGTTATTCCTTTGTGGTTTGGGTTATGTATTTACATTTTACGGAATAAATACTACAGCTTTCCCCATGACTAACACTTCTTAGTAACCAATGAGCTACTCAAATACACTATTGCCTCCTACAAGAGCCTAAACCACACTGTTCTCCGCTGGGTTTCTGTCCCCAGCTGGCCACCTCCTAGCACAGAGGCATGGTTAACCAGCGTTACATAAGTAACTTTGGATCTGAATTTAATAGGCCGGCTTACTAGAAAAGGTACTGGGTAGCGCGGGACTGCGTTCCTCAGAGACAAACGTTTTAAACATGGACACTGTCTGATCGTGACAAAATCTGAGTGAGGTCTTCAGACAAAGGGAGAGACATATTGCTGCTTCTCCCACAATGAGAGCGCAAGTTGCTTTTTCTAATCCAGAGGTCTGTTTTAAAAGCTGTGCTATACAGGCACTTGCATAAACTTTGTTTATAGACTGGAATATTTTCAATGAAAATGTTATTTAACTTTAAAAAGTTGCACGGCAGCTACTCCAAAAATTGTTTTCCCTTGTTAAGAATAACACACAGTGTGATACATTTGAAATGGTGATAGCAATATTTCACAAATTTTGATGGATTCATAGTCCAAATACCTTGCTAACAGATGTTTCTTTTAAACTCGGAGTGCTATAGGAATAACTCAGAGATATTACAGCGTCAGCACTGCCTTTTATCTGTATGTGTCCTTTCAGTGACATCCCTAGGCTTTTTTAATGCATGGGTCCAGTCTGAGCAAAAAAGTTCAAATATTAGCAGAAGTCATAGTCGAGTTTGAGTTTTGGGGCAGTACTTCTGGTCCGTGGGGAAGCTGATGTGTGCTCCCTCAGGCCTGTTGTATACTTGGGCACAGCAGCCTGGTGATTTGTGGGAATCTGCTGGTTTACAGTCGTCATTTCTGAACTTGCTGTTGGTTGTGGTTAATTTATGAACTTTAGCCCTGCACATCAAAATCTTAGCAAAGAGCAGAGCCTGGTATAAAGACTTAGGAAGATGGGGCACATCTGGATTCTTCCAGGTGGCTGAACCTATAGTTTCATGCCTTAAGTCAGCAAAATCCTTATTGACTGCAGTGAAAGAGGCACGCTTATGAAAACTAAAAGATGGTAATATGGTTTCAGTGATGGCTTTTTTAGAACAAGGAATCTAGAGATGCCATACGCTCCTCTGACCGTATCTTCCGGTCTCATAAATTAACAAACTTTTCTCTCCTTGGGTGATACTTTGCCCAACACAAAGGGATACGCCAGCAGGGCAAAGGGACAACGTTTTGAAGCCCTGCTGGAGTTCTCCTCGTTGGGGTTGTTCAGGAGGGGACATCACATAACTCTTTATGGAGGGCCCTCTCCCAGGAGCAACCTTCTCCACGCTGTGTTTGTACGCCACCCCCAGCATGCCCAGTTGGTGCTGCGTCTGCGTGTTAGCCGGCAGAGTGCTCCTCCCGCCCGGGAAGAGCCTGGAAAGCCAGCCTCTCGCTCCCGACCCCAGAGCTGGCCCTGGCACACGAGCAGGGCAACCTTTGGGAATGCTGGGGCTGATGGGAGCATCCTTCCTCCGGGCAACCCCTGATCCTACCCCTCCAGTGTGACCAGACTGTGCCCGTGCACAGCCCAGCCTGGCGGTGGTGGTGCTTGCCCTCAGGAGGAGGGGTGCCCCCTCCAGGAGGGGTCTGGGAACCCAGCCGGGCAGGAAAGGGGGAGCGCGAGTTATCCTGACGGCCGCAAAGGGAAGGGGGATGAGAAGGGAGAGAAAATCTAGTGGGCGGGTGGGAACCAAGGGCAGGGAGTGGGGATAATCCACAAGCCTGGCACCGGCCTCCCAGTCGCCGGGAGCGCGTAGGGGCTTCCCG